AAATATCATGTTGAAAAATTTTATTGTATGATAAATTGTTCCAGAAGTTATCTCGACAAACGATAATATTGTTCTTTTGAGACCATTTTTTAAGTAATGTAATGGTAATGACAAAATAATAATGCAAGAACACATTCTCAAAGGTCATTAAGCTTTAAATTCTAATGAATATTTAACACTGGAACTGGAAGACATTTTTAATATCCAAAATAAATAAAGAAAACAACTAATAAAATGAATTTTTAGAAGTCTTTGTAAACAAAATTGCCTTTGAAAATAAGGGCTAGTCAAGACCAAAGTACTAAACTGAAGACTTATCATCCAGTTTTTGGTAGAAAGAGAGAAAAAAAAGAGATAAATGATAAATCAGGCCAATGGAAATGATTAAGTTTGTTTTAATTTATCATATCATAATCATATTATTGATTATTGTGACAGGCCTATGTGTGGACATTAGACTAATTCCTTAAGTATGTTGAAAAGTCAACATAACTGAAGAACCTTTCAGTTTGTTCTGGTGAATAAAGTCTAGCAGCAGATGATGTTCCTGCAGGTCCAGGTCTACCTTCAGTACTGCTGAAGCAACAAAGTACGGTTTCAGTGATAGTGACCAACATCCATAACTGCCATAATCTGAAGATGCTTGCTGACTTCGGCATCATAAAACTAGATCAACCTGGGTTAAAGTTAAGACTGAAGATAGACTCTCAAACTGTGCAGAGTGAATTACAGTAAAACGTAATCTGAAATTATTTATAATTACTCGATGTCTCATTATAATCGGAGAGCTTCTACTTCTACTTAGTTGGTTTGCCTGCCTATTTGGCCAGCGAACCATTCCGCCACCCAGTGGTCGTTTTTCAGACCACGTAGTCTCCTGTACCACTCAAAAATGCACAATATGTCTATAAACATTTTTGGAATATCATAAGGAAGTGCTGAGATATTCCGTTTTTCACTAATGTATTTGCCACTTTGGCACAAGCACAGTGAGAAACGTTCAAAGGATAAAAACACTACACTCAGAGCAAAAATCAGATGACCCAGTTTTCTGCTAGCATGTAAACGCACCATCTACATACAAATCTGGGAGCTTCAGAAGCGTGAAATGAGACTCAAAAATACTTGTGCACTCGTAACCGGATCTGTGCGTAAATGCAGTTTTGTGTGTGTTTGTATCTGGCGACTCGTGCGTACTTTTTCAACATTTGTAGGCGTAGGAGAAGGTTTATTTTGTTTTTACGGTTTACAAATCATGTTTCACAGCTACAACTATCTAAAGCAGGGGTCCCCAAACTTTTCCCTGTGAGGGTCACATAACCTTTCCCTTCTCTGGTGGGGGGCCGGAGTCAGTTTGTAACAGAAAAAGTGTGATGATTGCAGGAGTGCCTAAATGTAAAAATGTTTTGTTTTCCAGAAAGCACCATCAAATAACCCTCTCTGGGTTCATCAGAGAAGAAAAGTCAGGAATGATTATAGTCCGTATTTTCCTAACTATGAGCCACACCGGACTATAAACCACAACCCCAAAGTTTTTTTGTTTTTTTTAAACCAGTAAACATACACATATAAGCCGCAGATATCTCTGCTGCTCCAGGTTTTCCACAGCGATGCAGCAGCAGCAGGGGGGGGACAGCCAACATTTGAGTCATAACAGGTCAACTGAATATCACATTTATTACAGTTGAAAAAGAAAAAGTTACCAAGATTAGATTTAACTGAACTGATTACGGTAGTTTCCAAACGGAAACTGTAACAGTAAAAGTTCTGATCCTTCGTGTTGCTACTAGCATGAGCTAAATGAAATGGGCGCTTTCTTCTTCTTCTTTAGATTTCAACAGCAGCTTGCATCCATTATTGTTGCACTACTGTCATCTACTGGATCTTAATATCTATACCTCAAATTCTCATAATGATCTCAGTATTATGTAAAAAACGAAAAATCTTCTTTTTCCCCTCAATGCTATTTAACTGATCAACAACATTCTCAAATTTCAATTCCCTATTAAAACCGAATTCTGTTTTAATAGGTGCTTTCTTCTTTTATTTCCAATTTTGACTTCCAATGATTCACTTTGTAATGGTCTCGCTATGGTGCCTTGTACCAAAACTAACCATCAGCCAAACTCCTTTCACACAAGTCAGGATTAATTAGTTCTTCCTTTATTTCCATGTACAATGGAGTGAAACTGTCAAAACACAAACAACTCAGGATGAGCTCAGAGCAGCTAACAGAAGTGTTTTACATTCAGATACATACATTAGAAGTACAACTGATACAACAGCTACCTCAGAATGCTATTAGCTGCAATGCTACATAACGACAGCCTGCTAAGATTTCTTAGGTCGTAGCACATAATTAAATCGCCCGCAGGTATTTCCAAAACTAATTCAATAAACAAGTTACTTATTTTATCATATGTTAACATAAAGGCTCGTTTTGAAGTATAAGTTGCTACTTACAGGCATTGCTTCGAAGAACTCGACCTGGAATGCAGCATTCATAACAGACACGTTTGTTCATCTGCTCTACTGTTAGCAAACAACCGTACTGATTAAATAACATAAAAATCAAGCAGTTCCCTAAAAGTCCAACAGATGGCAGCAATGCGCCATGCAAAACAAAACACCCACAGTTTACAGGACAAATTTCCTGCTAAAGAGCCCCCTGGTGGTTGAAGAAAAATACACATATAAACCGGAAAATACAATATATGGAAAAAAAAAATCTGAATGCTCTCTGGTATTGTTCGGGGGCCGGACCAAATGTGGAGGCGGGCCGTAGTTTGGGGACCCCTGATCTAAAGTTACACACAAAGAGGCTTACACGAGTTACAAATCCAGTATTACACACGCACAGATACTTTTACACATGCACAGATATTTTTACATGCGCACAGATATTTTGTTACTATTTTCACTCCATATGCTCCACCGTTGGCATCCATGTTTACTTCTGCAAACACTGAGCACTTCTTTTTATGGCAGTTGGCAGAACACTGGGAACGCTGACCCTATTGCGCCCTCTGCTGCGCATCCGGTACGCTTTCAGGTCATTTGCCTGTTAAAACTGCAGAACACAGACAGGTCTCATGTGTGGCCCCGGCAAAAAAATCGGAATTGGGTCACTTCAGGCTGCAGTGTGAACTGTGACTGTGACTGTCATTAGACCATTTTAATTGTCATTAATATTTCCCCGTACATCAAGTCAAGTAGCAAGTAGCGATAATAAAATAAGTTGATGAAAAGAAAAAGAGAAATATTACAAGAAAATAAAAAAAAAATCTATATATACTTTTGGATCGTGTCAGCCATCTCCTTCTTTGTAACCTTTCTGTAGCGCTCTGCAAACTGGGAGATCTTCTCAATGTCCTTGTTTCCTGAAAGCAGCTCTTTGAAGGTATCCGGAAATGTGATCATGGCTGGTCCTAGTTAGCATCCTCCACATCTGGTAGCATGTCTTCATTAGCGGCTTTTGTAATTAAGCTAAAATGAGTCTTCACGTGGCTAAAGTTGGCAAAGAACACAAGCACCATGTCACATCAGCCAAGTTTCTCAATAAAACACACAAAGGGTAAATTTGCTTGATATAGTACCTCAAAAGTTGCCAGATATAAGATTTAGTGCGCTATGTTTACAGCATGACAGCTAAAACCAATGGTAGTCATTATAGGCAAGCTTTTTATTTTGTTTATTTTTTTGTCCTCCAGCTGAAAACTGGGACATGGATTCTTGATTTTAAAATATTTGACAATTCTGGGCCCTTTTCAGATTGTCCTCTTCTGTTTTTCTCTGTTACCAATCAGAGGGATGTTGTGCAACTGCAATCAATGTTCCCTGTGAAACACATGACTGTTCAACAATATGCACATTTATAAAGCACTGAGTCAGAAATTTTGCTTAAACAATTTTATTTATTAGAATGCCTTAAAGAAGTTGTTGTAGGACTCACTGGCTGCTTCACAATGCCTTAAAACCAAAGGCATGTTCTATGGAGGGAAAATTCTCAAAGTACCTGTGGATTTGTAAACTGTGTAAGCCTGTTTTGTATTGCTTTGGATATTTCTGTGTGTAAAACATGATTTGTAAGTCGCAAAAAACATTTTGCATGACTTTGGTAACTTTGATATGTTTTTTCCTATGCCCACTCCAATATCAAGAAATTATCAATACAAAATAAATTTACACACACAATTGTGATACAGTTATTGAGTACTGAGGTACTCAATTTTCCAAGGAAAAATGTCTTTGCCCTTTGTCACTGGATCCTTGTGTTGTGACAAAAGCAAAACTCTGACGACCCAGTTTCCACCAACATTTAAATTAATTTACAAATTTGAAATTTGAGCATTTGAAAGCACATTTGAAAGTTGCTGAAGTCGCACACAAATGTTTCTTTGCAGTTTACAATTTGTGTAAACCCAAAATTACACACAAACGTGCTTACACAGCTTACAAATCTAGTATTAAATGGGGAGGAAATACTCAAAATATCTGTGTCTATATGTTACAGCGGTTTTATTGCCTCTTTTCTTCTAGGGCCACACCCAACTGGATGTTCGTGAGGAGCCTGTGCTTTTCCCGCCAGGGTTCCAGCCTTTCACTGTGGTCCAGTGCCAGCCTCCTGCTGTAGTAACAGCCCTCAGTCTACACTCGGAGTGGAAGCTGGTAGCCTTTGGAACCAGCCACGGCTTTGGCGTGTATGATTACCTACAGAAGAACAATGTTCTTGTCAAGTAAGTACAGAAGAAAAAGAATGGGTGGTTTGTATTTGTTTCTAATATATTTAGTGTAGCATTTGTGCTCTCCATTAGCTGTTTTTTAACACTGATTAATACCTGGGTCTGTACCTACAATCTAACCATTTTAAATGGATTGAAGATGCAACTTTATGCAGGAATTCAAGATTCAAGTCGAAAAGGCTTAACGATGTTACTCAGTGCTGCTGTCCTGCATGAAGCTAGCGCAATCAGGCCTAGCATATGTCATTTACGCAGAATGCATTGCAGCATAAACATGGCAATGTCCAAATATTTTATTTAAATTAATAAAACCAAACAGCTTACAGTATTTTTACTGCTTTGATTTTACAAAAGAAAACATCTTATTATGCTTATCTAGGGTATGGTTGTGGGAGCAGGGGCACTGCCAGGAATCTTGGGCCCCATGACAAAAAATTAAATTGGACACCCCTGCACAGCTGCTGTTACAATTTCTTGAGTCTATGTGGCCTATCAAAAGCGTCACAATTTTTAAAGGCTTGCAACTGCCTTGCTTTTTTTTGGTTCAATACTGTTACTAGCACAATATTCACTGCTAGTGAATTTTACATGAAACAGTCTGCATACAGTATGCAAGTAGGTTGCTTAAATTTTTTCTCAGTTTTAGATTACTGAAATGTTTCTCCCCATGCGCAACATTTATAGGCAACGTGCAAAACATACATGAAGCAATCTAGATTTCTCATAAAATACTATATAGTTGCATTTTATTCAAGCTGCAGTATATAACTTTAATTAAAAAATATGTTTTCTCCATATTTGTTAAAGCTGGCACCATGTTGTGACAATTTGTTACGAGACAGATAATTTGAAAAAAATCGGTCTCCCACACCTCCTCCCTGAACTACTATTACTGGCTAAAGTAAGACAATGTTCTGGCCAAAAACAACCAATCAAAACCAGGAGAAAGGTCTTAGTGCTGTCAATCAACCTCATTCACTCACTACTAAATGCACTAATGGTGGAGAAACAACTTATTGTTGTGAAACTTATCGCTAGCTGCAGCATAGCACAGGGCAAGGGGAGGAAGACTGAGCAGCCACACGAGATTGTGACTTACATTGCTAAAACCCACCTCTTGCCTCTGATTTCTAGATGGCACTGGGAGAAGGCAGATGAAATACATTTTTCACATATCATCTCTCATGCCATACTGTCACAACATAATGATTTTAACAAATATGTAAAAAAATATATATTACATGTTCTTTTACACGGGCTTTATGAGTCCACCAAGTTTGGTGAGTTTTTGAGTATGATAAAGCCCCCAAAAAGCCCCCTAAAGAGGGGGGAAGAATCGTAATAATAAACAGCACAATTACAATAGCACGATTACAATAGGCCTTCGCAGTGCTTAGCTGCTCAGGCCTAATTAGAATAACTATGAACTTGGAATCCAGAAATACTTAACAGGAACAGTGACTGTTTAGTTTATATTACTTTTAACCCAGAAAAGGAATTGGATCAGTCATTCTTTAGCTTATTTTGTCAGAAACTGTAGAGTACTCACTATTTAGAAATGGAATTAGATACTTAGCAACACTTGAACAGGAGCACTTAGTTTACATACTTTAGAACATTAGATTAGTTTTCTTTTCTCTTTCCTTTGGTTTGTTATTTTGTTTGTATTTCCTTTTAACTCATGTAAAGCACTTTGAATTGCCTTGTTGCTGAAAATGTGCTATATAAATAAAATTACCTTACCTTACTTTACCTTATACAGTCACAATAGAACACACTCCTAATTTTCCAATTTTGAATAATTATTGTTTTCGTATTACAGGCAGTGTTGTTGTTATCAATGCATTCCCTTTGTTTAGTGGCTCTCTTATTGTTCGAATGTCACCTGTTGCGGTTCTTATGGTTAATTTGTTTTGAAGGAAATTTTATTGTTCACGTTTCTGTCGGTTCTTTAAATTACAGGTGCACATTAAATCCCAGTGACCAGCTCGCAATGGAAGGACCTCTGTCCAGAGTAAAGAGCATAAAGAAGTCCCTGCGACAGTCATTTAGAAGAATCAGACGCAGCAGAGTTTCCTTGAGAAAACATCACATCAGCAATACCAACAAGGTAGCATTAACTGGATCAACACTGTTTTATTTTATCCAACACAGCATTTTGCTGTTCTTTACGCCTGAGATTTCTTCCTAAACAGATTCAGGAGGCAAACGCTCGTCTTGAGGCTGAACAGGCCGAGATGGAGATGGCTCCTGTCCAGAGGAAAATTGAAGCTCGGTCCTCAGATGATTCCTTCACTGGCCTTGTTCGAACTCTATACTTCGCTGACACCTTCTTGTCAGATAGTAAATATTGATCCCAAACACTGATGAAATTAAGCTCTGTTTATGCACGAAGACACTGGTTTTGTGTTGGTTGTTTTGGAGACTGTAGAAAGTACATTTATGACATATGAATGTGGAATTCATGTATCCAGCCAATTGAAAGGAAGGCCAGACCTTACACTTACTGACAAAGAGGAGGAGACTGAGAATACAATAGCCAGAAGTATGACATTCTTGTTCAGTTGGTTTTAATACATGGTTTGTCATCATCTTGTAGGTTCACACAACACCCCGTCCCTGTGGGCAGGGACTAATGGTGGAACAGTGTTTGCATACATTCTCTACATCCCTCCTGTGGAGCACAGAGCAGATGAAGCTCTTACTGCACAGCCAGGTGAGTGTTTTTACAGAACTGCAGTGTGTTCTCTTACCTCTGGCTGTATAACACTTATCTCGTTTATTCAGCTAAGGAGATCCAGCTGATGCACCGTGCCCCAGTGGTTGGGATTGTGGTGTTGGATGGTCACGGGGCTCCCTTGCCTGAACCTTTAGAGACAGCCCATGATCTGGCTCGCTCACCTGACCTGCTTGGCTCACACCATGTGTTGGTCATCTCTGAGGAGCAGTTCAAGGTCAGAGGCGAACACATGATGCACAGTTTAACTTAGCGGGCTTTGTAAGGAGAAGAGAAATGAAAAGCTGTGTAGCTGACAATCCAATGAATGATTCTTGGTTTGGCAAGTAATAATGGGACAGTAAAATCATATTTTTTTTGTTTTCATGCTGTGATTTTTACGGGCCTTACATCCATCATATGCCGCTTATCTGATTTTGCGTTGTGGGTCAGCAGCCTATGCAGGGAGACCCAGACTTCCCTTCTTCTCTCAAGCTACTTGGGCCAGCTCCTACGGGGGAATCCCATGGTGTTCCCAGGCCAGCCGGGAAACGTAGTCCCTCCACCACATCCTGCCCCAACTGTAGGAGTTGAAGTATCTCAAGGTCTTGTTCATAAATGAGGAAAATTGTAGCGGGGTATCAATTGGCAGATTGGTGCTGTGTCTACAGTGATGCAGGCGCATTACTGAGCTTTCCTGGTGCAAATAGCTGAGCCAAAAAATGTGCATTAGATTTTGTAATATGCTGTTTCTCTCTCTCTCTGGTGCTATACAAATAAACTTAATTAATAATAAAAATAATAGATTTTATTCACAATGCTCTTTATATCTTATGATCTCAAAGGGCAATTGAATTTAAACTGAGAAATTTTTCCTCACCCTATGAGTGTAAGAATCAGTGTATGAGTGTAATGCTTTGCATTAATTTATTTTTCATTGTGAATTAAAATATGTGGGATGATCATTTTAATAGTGACAGAACATTTCTCCTTGTGGAGGTGAAAGTTGGTTGCAGAACAAGGGATATGTGGTCAGACTAACATTAATCAGAAACTGGACTTACCTGTCATTTTTTGTTTAACTTGGGCTGTACCAGTTTTAGTTGGCACATAGCTAATAATAATAATAATCAATATAATTTGTACCGCACTTTTCATTAGAAAAAAATCTCAAAGTGCTACACAGTGCAACTAAAATCATAAAATCAACATCATAAAAATCATGTGGAGGCAGAATAGGCTTGCTTAAATAAAAAAGTCTTTAAGCCTCTTTTGAAGTGAACCAGTGGTTGCGGAGCTCTCAAAATTTCTTAATGAGTGCTGTAATCTATTTACCAAACTGTTCCAGTCATGCTGGAAATATTCCTTCATGCTACCAATTTGCTCGCCTGCTTTTTAATGAACAATTAACCATTCATTAAGAGGGATGTTTATATCCCTTTTCTTTTACAAATTGATCTTCTCATAGAAAACTACAAACCTTTCAAGTACAGTTTAGTTATCCAGCTTTGTAAACTTGGTCACTCCATCCCTTTTATTTTTACTGAATCTCAGCTCCAGATAAAAATGTTTTTTGCTTGATGAAAAATAACTATTATTTTTAGTGCAAATATGTGATCTGCTTACAACTAGAACTGGATGCATAGCGACCTTTTTTCACAATTTTTGCTGAAAGTTTTGCTGTATTTTTGTGTGTTTAGGTTTTCACTCTGCCAAAGTTGAGCTCTAAGATGAAGCTTAAGCTGACTGCTGTGGATGGGTCCAGGGTGCGGAGAGTGGGTGTGGCCTGGTTTGGCAGCAGCCGAACAGAGGACTATGGGGAGAGTGGATTGGTTTTTCTGACCAATCAGGGTGACGTGCATGTGTTGTCACTCCCACATATTAAAATGCAGATTAGGCACCCCTGCATCCGACGGGAGGATGTCAGTGGCATCGCCTCCTGTGTTTTCACCAAGCAAGGCCAGGGTAAACGTGCTTCTCTCTATTAATTTTTGACCTGAGATGCTGTTTCCTTCTTAAATTCTAATATATGCCAAATAATTAAGGTGTGTACAAATTCACTTGGTATTTAGTACGTTGTCCAGTGATGAGATTTTGTCAATGGTTATCATAGATGGTATTAAATTTGACAACATTCTGTTAAGAAAGGATAACTAAATCTGCAGTATGTAACTTTTACTACAAAGTTATCCTAGAGAAGAAAACATTCTGGAATTGATTTACTCACACATCAGAGATGGAAAAGGAAACTTCATTATCTTTATCTGGACCTTTCTCATTACATATTCTGTGCACAGTCTACAGATGACTGCTGAAATTTAACAGATCAGTAAAAGAAGGATCAACCTCAGCACTGTCTGAAGTCAGCATCCTCCCAGGAAAATCGCAATCAATTCCTAAATAACCACACATCTGAAAATGAAACTTTATTGTCTCTAAGGGACAACAAACAAAGAATGCAGATAAATTTACAAACACAATAAAAATTACAATAATGACTGTGACATCCATAACACACACAATACAGTGTGTATTATAGACAGAGACTACTACAGCCTCTGTCTGAGTTTATCATCTCAGATTTTGTTATTGAGGTTAACACTAACGGGGACCAATGAATTCTTGTAGCCTTTTGTGTTGCATGTTTTCTCCATGTATTTGTGAGCTGATGGCAGTAACCTGTAATGAGGATGGCTGGGGTGAAGCTGTAAGGAAGGAGTAAGGATACATTAAGCCTTACTCCTTCATAGTTGGGAAGCTCTGCAAGACCTAAAATGTATATTATAGTTCTCAGAGAAAAAAATGGTATTGGCCAAAAACCATTGACGAAAGATATACAAAGCTTAGAATTTTGAAATGTCTAAGAAAACTGCTGTTAGGGCCTACTACTCACTAGGAACTGGCCCTTTTACAGGCTTTTACCTGATGTCTCCATCTGAATTTGAACGATTCTCTTTGTCAACTCGCTATCTGGTGGAACCTCGCTGTCTGGTTGAAGCTCCTCTTCCTCCAGTCTTTTCCAACCAACACCAACCAAAGCTTGAAGGAGCCTCATCAGCCCTCAGGTACATGTTCTCTCCCTATTTTCCCTTTTGATTTCTAGATCATTGCTTCAGTGAATATCACATACGTATTTGTCTTTTTTCTTCATCTAGATGTACACAAGACACTGAGGATGCAGGTATTTTAATTTCACACACCAATTCTGCATTGGCATTTGGCTTCTAATGACTGTGTGTCTGGGTGTAGTGTAGAGTCAGTTGTTGCTGTTGACTAATGTGGTTGTTCAAGAGTTATTTTTATTTAGTGTCATACACTCATGCTTGTGACTGTACTAATGTGAAGGATCCTCTATTTGTCTGATTGTGTGTTCTAGAAAGTGCAGCTAGACGTGTTATGGAGCATGCATTGCTGAATGATGAAAGTAAGTCCTTGAGATAGTGAAGAGTGTGATGAAACATGGAACTTAAAATTCCTCAATATAGAATCCACTTCTCCCTAGCTTACCCTTTTTTATTCTTATTTTGGTAAATATTGAAGCATGTGCTTTTCATATTGGCAATAGGAGTAAACCTTTTTCCCAAGAAATGTTTAATTTACTTCCAGTATAGTGAGCAGCTTCCCTCTGTGACTAAGATGTTTTTCCAGGACTAACACAAAGATTTTACTTCTCATGTCTTTTTCCAGAGGTTCTACTGGAGATCCAAAAGTCTTTAGAGGGTGACCAGACGTAAGTATCTGCCCTGAATACATCAATATTAGTTTTAGAAGCAATCAATAGTCACTGGTATTTTCTTAAAGAATCATTTGTTATTTACTTTAAAGATATGAGTAAATTTATTTAGGCTGGCTAAAAAATAAAAAAAAAAATGTGTGAGAGGCTAACGGCATTGCATCAACTTTTTGCAGTGATATCTGGTGGTGGCACTGGGTGGCAAATAAAGTTTATAATGGATTCGGTAAACTATCTGAAAAATCCAACATTGACAGTCTAGAGACTGTTTAAGATTTTTAATTCAACTAAAGACGAACCAAAACTTTAAACAAAACTTGGGATTCTTCACTATATGGAAAAGCGAATACAACTCTTCCAGGAAAACATTCTGCTATTTTTTTTAGCCTCCAGACTTTTGGTGCACTGAACAATAAGCTTTTTTTTTTTTTTTTTTTTTTTTTTTTTGCAGAGTTTCTATATTTAATATTCTATATCCATGGATATAAAAGATATTTCTATATTTACATCTTCTTCCCATTTATTTTTAATGTAGTCACGCTTGGGAAGTTGTCTTTAACTTTGATATAGTTTTGAGAACTCTTGTGGTTATTTTCTTGTAGCTCTACTTTAAAACTGCAGTATGTAACTTTTATAAAAAAAATTTTTCACACATTTATTTCACATAAAGTTGTTCTGCTTTCTCTCAGGGTTCTGAGTGTTATCTAGAAACAACAAATCAGAGCTTGGAGGAGTACTGTTAATCACCCTCACATGGATGCTGCTCATCCCTCTCCTCCTTGCTCTCTATGCTACCTGCTATGCTAGCAGGCTCTGCTGTCTTCCTGACATACCTGTCAAGTTGTGGATTTAAAAATAAAGGAAATTTTCCACCACCTGCTATGAGCCGTCCCACCTTACATTTTAAGGCAGGTTTATAAGAAATTTAAAATAACTGCCTGTCAACCACTTACAAGGTTGTCCTGCTTTTCAATTAACAGTTAGGTGTACAAAGTACACCCAACTGTGGTGTGTAACACCTAACTGTGTTACACACCACAGTCTAAAACCTAATTGTGGGGCCATCTTTGTTTGGCAGCTGTATTTGGCAGACCATCACTTTTTGGCACAACACTTGGTTTGTTTCCACTGTCAGCACTAGCCTTATAAGAACTGCCTCCCCAGGTACTGCAGGTGGTAGTTTTCGCGAGGCTAATGACTTCATTCAGTTTAGAGAGGCACATTAATTCTTATTTGAAATTATTATGTTACAATACTGAAAAATTACCGGAAAATACTAATATGGCAGGAAAGAGGCGTAAAATACAGTAATTTCCCGGCCAAAACAGGAGGCTTGCAGAGCCTGAATGCTCAGACTAATTAGTGTGGCCATCGATGACGGCGAATAAATGGTTTTCTCCACCATTAGCACATTAGCTACCAGACTTGGTCAAGATTATCTTGCAAAGCAGATTTCTAATCTCAATGGGATTTTCTTGATTAAATAAATTGAATAAAAAAAATTGAGCAGCACGTACACAAGGGTGGGTAATGACACTAAGAGACTTCTACTGGCTCTGATTGGTTGTTTCTAGTTAGCACTGGGAACACAGAGAAAAAGCAGAGGAGCTCCATTTTTTCACAGATAACCTGTTTAATTCCATACTTTCATGGCATGTTGACAGTTTGAACGAACATGTAAAAAGCATATTCTATTCTAAAAGTTATACACTGCAGCTTTAAAACTCCTACCATTCACACAGCTACCTGGGGTTTTACATGGTTTCAGTGTGTCTACTTTTGCTTACTTGTTCACCTTTTAGCAATAACATATTTATCCTCTCCTTTATTCTTGTGATTTTTGTTTTGTTTTTATTTTTTCAAAGAAAACCACAACTGAGATGAGTATTGCCATTTCCTTCTTGGCACACTCCTTGTATGAACTAAAAAAATTGGCTTTTATATGAAAAAAATTGGCTTTTTTATGAAATTATTCATACCCCTCCTAGGGGTATGAATAATTTGAGGTCTAATTATTTCAGTATAAAGTCTCCAAAATTACCTTATTCCAGTTTAAATTACATTACAAAATGTGGAAAAAGATAAAGTGTCGAATATTTTTAAAATGTACTTTAGATTAGAAAAAGTGAGATTTTTCCTTCATTATTCAGTAAATGTTACTGTACTTAAATACAGAATAGGCTAAGCCTTTCAGTTTTAAGGTTGAAACTCTTTGTGGTTTGTCTAAAGGGCATTCCCAGGGAATAATGTGAAGAATGCTGTTGTCTGAGATCAGGTTCTCAACTGCTCAGGTAAGACTGCTCAATTATTCTCGTATTTTGTGCATTTTGGGTAATTTACTGTTTACGTTTTGTTTTTGTCTCCTTAGAGAATAAACCCATTAAAATGTATGAAGTGCACTGCAGTCACACAGCTTCTCTAACCTCCTGCTTGGAACACACAACCACTACTGATTCCTGATCCTTCTAAGAGCCATTTTAAATGGAGGCCAAAAGGCTCACAGTGCTGCAGCTGTTTGAGTGCCTTAAGGATGCAGCAGACTGAAGGATGAGTCCAGGGCCTTAAACACGGCCTCCTTGGCATGGTGACTCGCTTCCAGTTGAAAACTACATTAAATATTTTCCTTTTCCTGCCCACAATCTGAGTCCATCAAACCAGTTGTGATCAGTCCTCATAGATGCAATGAATACCTGTGGTAAAAGTAAGTTTGGGGAAAAAAAATTAATTTGAAGTTGTGTTTTTTTTGTTTTCTTTTAAACTAAGATGTTTGTGGGTTTTCTTTTTTGTTTGCCAGTATTTGTCTGTATGTATATTGTAGTGATACACATGAATTAGCTTGATGCCTAAATTTAAAAATATATACTTTAAAAATGTACTATACTATATATTTCACCCAAATTCTTTTTAACGGGACACTAGGTAATTTTATACGGACACATTCTCTAATAAGGTTCATGCAGTGAACTAATTTTTAATTTACTACTTTTTTGGTTTTACTAGGGGTCATAATTTTAATAATGGCCTTTTCAATGTAGGTCTTTGTTGTATTACGATTTCTCCCTTTCAGAATTTATGATTTTCTGTAATCATAAGATAAATTTGAAAAAAGGGCTGTTTCTAAATTAAACTGTTACTTTTTAGGGGGAAAAAAGATTCTTGTTTGTTAAAAAAAAATGGGGATTCACACTACATTCTCAGTCCCACCCCTTTCTGTTAACTGTAAGGTAATCTGTCCACAGGTACTTGTGCACTACAGCTCAGCACACTGTTCTTCTTTTGGGGGGAACTTTGTCTAGGGTTTATTTTTATAAATATTATTATTGTTATTGTTTTGTAAACTGTTTAAGCCAGCAATAATTGATGTGATTTTGGAATGTAATTGTAAGTGATGATAGAAAATTGTTATATACTGTATTATGTATGTGACAACTGTGCCTATTTTAACTGGGATTGGCTGCTATTTAGATCACACTAGAAAATATTTTGGTACTGTGTGTTTGAATGCTTGGTATTTTAGCATCATCTTGCAATATATTTTTGTAGTAAACTGATTATGAAACCTGATATTTTTCAGTTGTATGAAATTTTACACTGTAATTTTCTTATACACAATTATATGTTTTTCCTAAGACCTTTTGTCTGGTGTCATGTCTGTGGTACAAAGGTTTGTAAGAAATTACCTTGTTAAACAGCTAATATCTTCAATTTCTATTACCTCCATCTTAACCTTGAGTTAAGCTTGTTTGCCAGCACAATTAAACTCATAATCAATAGAGCAACAATACATTATTCACCATAACAACCACTAATTAAAAAAAGGCATATTAAGATCAGATGTTTTCTTCCAGCTTTTAAATAATTTCAGCAAGGACGATAGCATGCTAGTGAACAGCTGCATTATTGTAAATAAGAACTTACCTGATTAAATTACGGTTGAATTTAAAATGTTGAATTTAAGCTTTTTATTTCCACCCTACAAAGTTCCTGAGTGCCTCTGTCCAGAGCTGCTACTGTATGAGAATAAACAGGGCGTAAAGTTTGAAATGCTGCAGCTTCCATTTCCTTGGCACACTTTTGCATTTGTTTACAAATACTTACGAGTAGCAGTATGAAAGAGCTGCATCAGCCAAATAAACCACCTTACATGACTTTATTGTGTGCTATGGATTACCAGACACATAAAAATCTGGTCCCTGATTTGTCTGGTAATCCATAGCACACAAAGTTGTCAAACACTTTGCCACCTTCTTCGTTTTTTGGTTTGTTATTCCAAATGCAAACTTTGTATAATGATCAGTAATAAGAATGTATTTTGTATTACTTAGATCTGGTTCAAGTGGCATCTAGTCCAAGGACCACAATTTGATCTACCCTCCTAAAAAAACCTCTAACATCACTAGTGTTATAAAGACCTGGACAACTCCATATTATACACGAGGAAATCATGATTTAATCAGACACTTCAAAGGCTCGGGATTGTGGAGCACAAACAGAAAACTAACTGGAAATAAAATGTGAAACTTTTATTGCACACCTATAACTGCACCAAGAACAAAGTCACCGGATTTTTCTCTTATGATTTCATGCTTAGTCGTTCACAACTTCCAGAAGACATGGCAATTGGCTTGCAAGTGGAGCATCAGTATTCATTCCGATTTTGACGAGCGATTGCAGCCTCGCCTTGAAGAGAGCTTTGAAGCTGCTTCAAGGAATGTGCAGTCTGCACCATCAAAGTTAGAGGAAGGAAGTTCTTATTCAAAATGTTTGAAAGATTGTGAGCAAATGGGAGCAAGACATTTCATGAAATGAGTTGGAGATTTTTCTGCATATAATGTGCATGTAGAAAACAAAGCTGATTGACCTACCCATCCTCCCACCGTCATCTCCTTTTTTCCTTGCTCATTCCCCAAGTCAAAGATGCTGAACAAAATCACACAGAAAACCTCAAACAAAAAAATAGAATCCTTCAGAAAAGGACCCAAATGAAGAGCTGCAAGAAAATAATTTTTGACGGGAGTTTTCCCAGCCATGGATTTCCCCCAAGACATTCATGTCCCTTAAATGGTCCCTAAAACATTTTTACAATGTAACATTTTGAGAAATTTCAGGCAACACTTCCTAAAAATTTAAAGGAACTTTAATATTTCACACAGTGTTAGGTATGTTATGTCATGAAAAGATAAGGCGCAATATAGAAAATATTTTTTTTATTATTATTTTTGAACAGTGGGGAAATTCTGGTGTCACAGCAGCAAGTGGGGATGCACAATGTAAAAAAAAAACCCTCAAAAGAATAAAAGACTACGTAAGGACAAAATAATACTGTGCAGTTCTTAAAAAACAGTCATCTGTCTTCACTGTCTTAGTCTCTGTATCTTCTCTTTCATCACATATTGTTGGTTTCTCCAGCAGCACCTCTCACCTTTCTTCAAGCATTCATCAGCTGGTCATATGAACAGCAGAGGACCAGGCTGATGGAATTGAATTAAATAATTTAGAAGGCACTTTGTGTGCTTCGTCCAAAGCAGCTCACATGTATCCTTATTGTGTGCAAACACAGGCCTTTCCTCACACTGTATTGAATTTGTGATACTTTACCCTCCGTGCAATGCAAGGGAATGGGATTTTTGTGTGCCTCAGAACTATTGAGAGAGGGTATATATTTGTATTTGCGACAGAAACCATCGGGGAAAAGCCTGAGTACTCTGCTGCCTCCTAGCTATACCTGGATTTTACCTGAGAAGTTTGGTAAGAGATATTAAATTAAAATGAGTTCATAGGCTGCAGCATCTTGTAACAACATTTAGATTGATCTGAAAACAATGTTTTACTGTATTTTTTTGCACCATAAAAGGAGGACAGGATTTTATTGGCACAAGAAGATTTAAATATTACTTGACGTGATGGATAAGTTCTGTTTCTTTTTGAAAATGTAGATTATGTTTGACATTTTTCTCTGGAGGTAGGTATTGCAGCTTTCAAGTTCAGTTAAACAATGCCACAAAATCTTGCCAAACGTTGCACCTATGTAGATCTGATCAGAATTGCCAAAAAATAGGAGTCAAAGAGCAAAGTTGTGGAACAGAGTACTGACCTGGCTTTTCTAAATTTAATACATACGTTTGACAGCATACTGTTTTTCACTAACCTTTTCAATTTTATTTTGATTGTGACTCTGTGTTTATATAAGAAAAACAACTAAGGATGTCTTTAAATTTATTTTCACATTTTTATCTGTGGTCTGTTTGTATTTTTTATTTTTGTCTTTCTAGATGATTTGATTTTGACTAAATGAAAGGGTTTCTACAACTGAAGTCACAAGGCTGAAGACAAGATTCAAAGCAGAGCACAAGAAGACAAGAAAAAACAAGAAGTTAATCCAGGAGGACACTACAAATATTGCCTGTCACAAGACTATTGAATACTGTAGAAAGCCTCATTCTAAGCCTGTAAAAGAACACACAAAATGTTTAAAAAAGTGAAGACAAATAAGGAAGCTGAGAGGGAGAAAAAACAAAAGAGAAAAGCAGTTAAGCAGACAGTAGAGAAAGAACCCAAACAAAAAACTAAAGAAGAAAAAGGGAACATGAATCTACTGAAAAATAAACCCTGTTCTTTAACAGAAGCGGTTCAACCTCAGAAAGACCTTTCTATCAGTAGCATAAATGCACCACATAAGGAACTAATGCTAAAGATAACAGGAACAATCAATGAGAGGGTCCCTTCTGTAAAAAATGATTTAGATCAAGAACAAGAGAAACATAAGCCAAAAATGAACAAAGGTTCTGAAGACCAAAGTAAAATAATATATATAAAAGCAAAAAATGAAGACACCAAAGCTATTCTGGAGCAGCAGGATGATGAAACAGTTGTCAAAAGTAGGGCACAGAGCCTACTGTTTGATAAAACCGAAATGGCATCCCTTGGACACAACATGAGAAAGGCGGTAATCAATTCTGATGAAGAAACTTTACAGTGGGATGTGGGTGAAGGGTTATATTTGATACCCCCAAGAAAAAGATTAACACCTTTTTTCAAGATGACTGATTGGATTCAAAAGAAAATGCCACAAAAAATAAATTTACGGAAGAAGATTTCTGCTCTGACTAAAGCAGTTGGTATAACCAGCTGGCTTCAAATCTTAAGGCAAAAACAAAGCAGCAGCAGATCTGGGGACCAAGTTTTTAGACACAGGGTGGCTAAGAGGATTGTATGTAAAACCAGGGTAGCTAGTCAAAAAAACAAAATTTCTACAGAGGACAAACTTAAGAAAGAAAAAACCAGGCCCCAGGAAACCACAGAAGAAGTAGCAATGGTCAGCGATAAAGAGCTAGATGCCAAATATGCAGTAGTACTTCCTAGAGTGAAAAAACTGGCAAAGGCAAAGACAGCTGAGACACATAAGACAGTTCCTTCAGGAGGACACACTACCTGCAAGGCCAAACCCCCAAAGTCAGGAGCTAAACTGGTACTTCCTTCCAAACCAGATCTCAGTCTCCTGAAGTCCATGAAAAAGTCATTGCTGGAAAGTTTGCTATCAGATGAAAATATGGAAAACAGGGGTAGTAAGTTTCTCAACAACTCAGAAGAATTATCCATACAAAAGAACATTACCAGTAGAGCTATGTTAGAAAACCAAGATAGAGTCAGTGTGCTACGTGGTACAAGAGACAAACTAAAAACTTCTCAGATTAAACTTAGCAAGATGTCAGTGGGAATGTTAGGCAATGGACTAGCACAACCCAAGTGTGCACATACAGATGTAGAAGTGACTGACCACACACAAAGGTCTGTATCTCAATGTTCTTCAAATGAAGTGACAAGTTTTGCAAAAATAGGTGTCTGTGCATTGTATGAAGAAGAAGCAGACCGAGAAGTTGCACTATTGATGGGGGGGAATGGATTAAATACTATTGCCCAGCCAAAGTTTCACTGGACTGGAAACAACCAGATGAGTGGAGACCCTCAGGTGTGTATTCTTTAATACTATTTTCAATATTTAAACAAATAACTATTTGTTCTGATGATTTGACACCAAAGCACCATAAAATAAATGGTTTAATAAGTTGCAACTATCTGCAAAAATCTTTTGAGTTGCAGACTTGGCTTCGGACAGAAAACTTGCTTCCCCATCAGACAGTTGAGAAGCTAACTAGGTGGACAGTCTATGATGATGATGGACAAGCTAGGACTCATAGTAGCAGGGGACACTGGGAATCAGAAGATCCAACCCAAGAGATGCTTGAGACTCAGCTAATTAGCACACAGGTATTGTTACCTTTCCTTTAAATATTTTTACCCCTTTGTAGAATTCCTCTATTTGGCTTTTTTGTCACACTTAAAGGTACGGTATGTAACTTTTGTCCAGGAAAAATGCATTTCTGCAGATGGTATTTGTAGCACTAGGAAGAAGTGGATGAGCATGATTTTCTTTTTTATACAGATGATCTGTCTCAGGGGCGCCGTATAGGGGAGAAAAGTTGGGACAATTCCAAGGGCCCCTGACCGACAAGGGGCTCTCCACAAATTTGTTTTTGTTGTTGTTGTTCATAGAAATAAAATATTAAAAAAACTGGGGCCCTGTCAATTATAAAATCAATCATATTGTGTTTTCTAAAATTGTCTATAGCA